CCTTGTCATTGTATATTTGTTACATATCATTAACCTGTGTACTACACGTTGTTGTTTGATATTTCTTTGGAAAAAGACTTTCTCTTCAAAGACAATTTTGATCAAATAAGTTGTAGATAAAATAAGATAAACTGGATACATTATGATAATTTTGTATTAATACTTATTTTTTAGAATGTTGAAATTCATGAGTATGGTTTTATATGTGTTCTATGTGCGTATTTTAGACGACTCCATTCACTATCGGTGTAAGGGGGAAGTATTAGTTCTATGCAAAGGTTTTTAGGTGTTTTTCTTATTTTTAATGGACGTTTGAAGACGAATGAACGATAGTGAAAAAAGTTTACATTAATTCAGAAAAAATAGTTAAATGTTCTAGTCTTTCAAACAGTTCATTTACTCGAGTGTTATTTTATTTACCTAGTGTTCCTTGTCGCGCCTTAGAATATCAGATCCTACATATTGATTGTTTTGTGTTTGACCTTTCGGAAGAATTGTTATTATATTTTCTTACTTGTACATGAAATGAGTGTTCCCCTGAAATAAAACTGTGTCGTCTCTGTATGGATGTTAGTTAAATTACCTTCCTTAGTATTATATCTATATATGTTATTTTATGATTGTATATTATGATTGATATTATCATTTCCATTTTTAAGAATCATCACAATTTACATATCTAATGAATAATTTCTTAATGTTGAAACTCGAGTGGGGTTTATGTTAAACCTTTTTTCTTTGACAAATGACAAATTCAAGACACTTGGTAGCAGACACCTTGCATTTCTTTAAAGAACTACCATTCTAGAATGTTAACAATATGGCGTTATTATCTTTTTCGAGACTAGCATTGTTGTTGAGAAACACATATACAATGTAAGGATGAGGTTCGTCCAGAGACACACTTGAGCAAATGCCACTGGCGAAAGAAACCCTCCGGAATTTTTTTAGTAATTAGTCAGAGAAGGTAATATTGATTAGCTACTGTTGTTAGATCACGCAAGTACTTGCATCTTATTGATGTAATATATATCTTGACAGATAGTTTAAGATTCTTTGTTGGTTGGTCTCGTACCCCTTGGCCAAAATTAACATCAAAAGTAGTAGATATTTAGAATTCCTTTATGATGATAGACAAGGTTGCATTAAGAAACATGCTTTGGGCGAAGTATTGAATTCTGTGGAATCGTTTTACGGGATATATCAAGAAATCATTGAATATCTGTTCTGGTTTCAGTGGAATCTCTTAGAGCAAAGGTTCCCAGGAGGATTTATGAGAATTTCTGGAGGGCCACTTAAGACCATGAATTTTAACAGGGTTTTGTTTCAACTCGACAGGACTTGCTGATAATACCTTTCACATAAGAATGAGTCAGAATATTTCCATGACTCAATTTTTCTCTTAGTTCTTGGTACCGTTAAAACATTAATTACTAATAAGCATTAATAAATCCGAAAAGACAACAGACATCCTTATTCTTATTCCCACGAATCGAAACACATACCGGTGTTTGTTTATCTCATAAAGGGTTTTCTGCCATCTTCCAATGTTCCTGATCTCCCTCGCGCTCGCCTATTCTGCCGCGTCGCCCTCTGTCAACTATTGATCATTGGAGGAAAGGTGAGGTTCTCTTCGCTTCCGTTCACCGGGTTCTCTGTGATACTTCTTTACTTCTTCTCTTGGTTCTTCTTGCATGGCTTCTCCGCCTGTCTGTCTGTCTCTCTGCGTTAAATAATTTCACGATCGAAGCTGAACTGATTAATATTACCAAGCAACTGAAAAAAATCCTCTCCAGGCAGGGATAGCACTTCCATGACGATAATTAACTGCATCCTAACAGAAATAATTTTATTTTTGTTACATACCATAAACTAATTTGGTTTCGTAAACAATAAATCTAAAATTACTATTACCGATGATATGTACAGAGCCTTTGACAATCAAGAATTTGTATTAAACACATTTTTGGACGTAATCACGGTCTTTGATACCATATACCACATCGTATTATTGTCTAAACTGGAACATTATGGAATCAGGAATACGTCGTTCAGTTAAAATCCTACCTTAGAAATAGAATGCAATACGTTTTCGATGACGAGAAAGCTTCTACCTTGCAATCTCATTACTAAATTTTTGGGTCTCCATATAGGTTACATAGATTATAGTAACATTACATAGATCACCTTACATAGATTATATTAACAAAATTCAAGCAAAAATTAACAATGAATGCGCTATTTTGAGTCATACCCGACACACCTTAACTGTAAAGGCAATGGAATCAATATGCTATTCATTAATATATCCTCATTTGTCCTGTTGTACAGTGGCATGGGGAGGAACCCACACTGCCTCTTTGCAACCACTAGGGAAGGTACAAAAGGTTAATAAGAACAGTGACCGGTCTAACAAAACGTTTTTGGAAATTTATGAAACTTTGTAGTATTTCAGTTCACTTTTCGTGTGAAGTTCTTAACATTGAGTAAATCAAAGGTATGCTTTCAGAAATTGTAATATCCTACACATAACCTAAATGCAATCCTCACAATCCTCTTGCATTCTTTATCGGTGCCCAAAATCAGGAACAACCTTCCTGTTAGGAACTGCACAACATTACAATCTTTTAAGAAACTTTTAAAACCATAGCTTATGTCATTTAGATGGATATTAAGTCATCTCGATCACATGTTCCCTAAAATACCTGTTGGTACTATTTCCTTGTATTTTCTTTTATGTTGGTCTATTTACCATAAGGAGTGGATAGTTTTGTAAATTATTTTCATACGCAAGTGTATAGGCAATTTTCACGGGTTATCAAAGGGGAGTTTACTTTCAAGATGCTCAGCCAAACTATCAATGTTTCTGTGTAATCCATAGCAGTACAAATTTTATAGCTAATTATATGAATCTGAAATCTGATTCTGCCTATCTATCTATCTCTCGCTCTCTTCTGTCGCTGTCTGTCTGTCTCTCACTCACTAACACACAAACTTTCTCTCACACAAACACACACACTCACACATATAGATATGCATCTGTATCATCATCATCTGGGAACTAACGCCGATGGGGGCGCATAACCACATCCACCCTTTGCTTCCATCTACGAGGATCCCTCATGACAAGCTGCCAGGCAGGGAATCGGCCAATCTCGAGCTCTTCACGACAGGTTTGATCGATCTGCCCAAGCCATGACTTCCTAGGTCGTCGCACAGGCCTTTTTCACCCTTGGCTTTCTCGTACAGAGACAATGTGATTAGCAGGATCATCCTATGGGTAGAAAAGCCAGGTAGCCGTATAGCCTGAGTTGGCAATCATTTACAATTGCATTTACTAGTGATGGCAAAGTGGCATTCACGAAGAAATGGTAATTTGGATATGCTGGATTACAATCATAAATTGACTCATTCTAATGGTAGCCAGCAGAGGACTCTAGTAAAGCAATTCCTCCAATCAGCGAGCACTATACATAATCTTTGAGGTTCCTTCGGCCAATCACGTAACAAGTAAACAAAACTACATACAGCGAGATCAAAAAATCTCAGCTAAAACACTATTCAAACACATGTAGAAAATAATGAATATATTTATTTTATCATATCCATCATGTGGGATATTTATTTACTGTATAGATAGGAACCAATACTAGCACTTTTATTAATATATTATTAATAAATATTATTATTAATATTAGTCCAAACAGTTTTTTTCATCATTGTTAAACAAAGAACCGGACCAATTTTTTTTTGTAATCGCTACCTGTCGTCAAAGGAAATATTTCAAGCTTATTCTTGCACTTTGGAGCTTATTGTCAAAATGCCGACAGACACAGAAATTGATATACTCGTTTAGCGTTGGCATTGCCGGTTTATATATCAGATATTTGTGATAATTATGTCAGAGAAGAATTCTATTAGAGTTCACGTATCTATTGATTCCATGCATTCTAGTATAATATAGGCCTATAATTTTAAGAGAATTTGTGTGGATTTTATTCTTGCTAGGTTCATGTGAAATTTACATTTCTTTACTATGTCCGTATTGCGACATGTGTTTGCCATTATATTAGTTACATCAGGTGTAAAAACAAACATAACACTTTGATTAGATATTGTTTTTTTGATGAGATAACACGCGATGTTTTTTTAAATTTTCTACAAGAAGTTACCAGTGCTCTGGCCACGTAAAATTTACCATGGTAACTAGATGGCAAGTTGTTGATGAATGCCACTGCTGTCTGGTTACCATGGTAACTATTGTTACCAGTGATTTTACCATCGTAAGTGCGTTAGTGAATCCGGGCCCTGGATTGTGCAAGTAACAGGTCCTGTGCCAGTCTCATGGTTCAATCATTGATTGGGCACGTGGTCCCACCAACAGTACACCATGATCCGGGACAGGGAACTATTACAAAAGGTATCAAGATGAAACTTCAGGTTACACTGCCACACTAAAACTGATAATAAAAACAAGCATCTCCAAATACAAGGCCAATCTGTCTGCTGACTTTCTGGTCTGACAGCCCTGAGTTATGAACTACACTACCAAGGTTTGTAAAGCTCTCTGTGACTTCAATATCCTCGCCACAAGCATGGGGATGGGTTGGGGGGGGGGGAATACAGCTGATGTCTTGAGCTCTCGACCGGAACCTCGATGGTCTTGAAAAAACTACGTATATACATTATTTCATAATAAATTGTGATTTTCTGATGTTTTAAAATTATAATGTGACTTCTATATCATATACACAAATATGTTACTAATTTATAATCTAAAATCAAGAAAATGGTATTCAAACACAGGAAAGGGAGGGCTATCGCACCTTTGCTTCACCAGGCCTTTCCAATACCATCTTATGCCAGCCCTGGCAAAGGATCGCCAGGCGAACACTTGCCATGCTTTTAGCACGAAATGTCCCGGCGAAATCGAACGCCAGCACTAGCGAAAGGTTTTAAAAGTATGGACCTAAGAGACATGAAACCGGATGCTAGCTTCA